TGAAGACCATCGTGACGAAGGATCATGTTGGGACATTAAACCTGATGTTTTAATGCTCAAACGGAATGGTGAAACAAGTGTTCATTTTTGAGCAGATTTCGTAGTGATATTTTAAATGGCATACGGATTATATAGGCAATATCTGAACAGAGACAACGATTCAAGAAATTAAGGAACAAAGGAGTTGGTAAGGATCACCAAAAACTGAAATAGATATAAATGTGTAATATGATCGTATTTGCATCCTAAGATCATTCCACAGTATGCAGCGACATAGCTTTAGCATTTGTTGTTAAATTACATCCCTTGAAGATGGATCCAGCTCGATCCGAAGCATCGGAATTTTGTTTAATAAAATTAGCATGGGGAATAAACCTTTGAAAAACTTTATGGTGAAAAAATAATCCATTTGAAAAATATATGACAGAATACGAAATCAAATCTTCACGTTTAGTTTATAGGTAATACGCGAAGAACAGGAGAGCAGCGAGCCAGTCGAGCGACAACGCGTCGATCAGACGACAAATGAGAACGAAAATAAGAAGAAGGCGACCAGTAAACAAACGCTGACATCACCAAGGGATCACAAACTACCAAAGGAAGCAGAAGCAAATGGTAAAAATGCTACAGCACGAGGACAACGACCGAAACAAGAAGAAAGGCAATCGTCCACAGTAGCCAGAAAAGCCTTAGGAGAGACGCAAACGTCGTCAGACAACGGGCAGAAGACCCTCGGTAGGGCAGCGTCCCTGCAACTGAAAATTGCCCAGTGCTTCAATTCGTTCAAACCGAAACGCGAAACGCCACAGGCGCCAAAGATCGATAGACGAACGGCCTCGATAGAGACGATCGCTCCTTCACAGATCAAGAAAGGCGTGGCATTACGAGCCTCGATATCGAAAGTGCGCGACGGCAGACTTGATGCCCTGTTCGACAACGACGGTAAGCTTAATAATGAAATAATGAAATATGGCTATAATCTTTAGTCTACTAAATCGACCATAAAGCCTCGTAGGGAATCACCGTGATAATCGATCACCAAAGCAACAATTGACGTTGCAACGACTGTTGGCTAATGAGTTAAGCAATGCGTAGCCAAGTCAAACGACGCCTGGCACGACAGGCAAAAACGCACCAGTACTGGCGCTGCGAAAACAAACTGAAGCTAAGCATTTTCGAAGTGTCGCTGGCCCTGAGGTTACCTGGGTGAGGTACGGAAACGACCGACCTTCGCTCAGCTTTAGACACGACAGCTGTGACTTAAAATCAAACTGCTGGAAATGTGGAGTACCTTAGAGTAACTTGGCTAAAAAATTTACCAAAGTATAATTCTGCCTTTCTTCATGAAAAACAGCTGACAACAAATAACTGTTTTCATTTCTACTTCAAGTCAGTATTCAGTGATCAGTTATGCGGTGTTCCAAAAAAACACTAATGCATCCATTATTAACAATGTTATGCAGTCGTGAATTCGTTCCTACGTTTGAATAACAGAATATCAAAGGTGCTTTAATGCCTAAGAAAAATTGATTTTCAAATGTTATGCAATTTATGTCCACTCACCAGCAGCTAGATTATGCCTGAAAATCAATTGTTCTCGGGTACTTACGCACAAGCATAACAGTATTAACTGTAGCAAGACCAGTGATAGTGGCTGTTCTAGTAGTTTCCCTACAACTGGTTTAACAGTAGCAGATACATACTGGGCCTTTTTGAACGTTCACAGTAGTTTTAATGAACTGCCATTAACCGCTGAATGGATCGTTTTTTCGTAACTGCATAACAATATTACGTATTATTACAAGTTGTGGACATTTTCTCATGTGTTCGTGAGTTTTACAAACTTCTGCCAGAAAATTTCTCCTTCAGACGAATCGAAGATGGAGCAGATGGTTCGGGGTGGTATGCGTCGGACGGTTGCCACCTCCTCGTCGACCATTAAGACGCTGCATTTAGACGTGCATCGCAACGTATTCACGGAGCCGATCGGTCGCAAGTTCGGAATCGCTAACCGTTTTGAGCACACGTGTCTGTGCGAGTGCCGTTGTCACTCGTACTCAAACCGGTTCAGCTCTAGTGACGAACAGTTACTTTGGCGTATGCTCACAGGGGGCAATAGCTCGGTCTTCGACAGCTTGAACACTAGTACCCCCGTTGTCCGCCGTCGAAAGCAACGACCATCGACGACCTGCGATGAACTGCTCATCGCCCACCGGTCGATCATCGAAGTCGTATGCCACACGAAGTACGTAGTCAAAGGCGGCAGAAAGTGACGTTACATGTCTGTAGGTAGTAACCGCAGAGTGCGTGGAAATCGGGCCACTGGACGTAAGCCAGCAACCACGACCAATGGACGATGAGCTATCTCTGAAGGTCAGTGGGCACATAAAAATGTTGTCAGTAGTGCACAGCCAACTTCTCGGAGGCTGGTTGCTTTCGAATCGTCCGCACAATCAGCGACCACATGATTTCATGCTTTGCTGGATTTTAGCTATGGAGATTTTTATTTACTGTTAATTCGATTGGTGAACTGATAGTAAATCGCTGGTCATACGTTGACTACGTTTTCACACACAATCAATCCATCGGACTGATGCACGAATACGTCTGACCTCGAAGATTTCGAACAAATCAATCCATCCCATGGATCGAAAACATCCAACAGAAGATACGTAAAAATTAAGTCTCTAGCATAGGAGCTAGTGCAGAACCATCGCTCTGTTCATAAGATAGCGTTAACAAACTGAGATATGGGGTCACAGGAATTAACTTCTAAACGCAAGGACCAGAGGAGAAAAAAACGGCCAACGTTTTTTGGTCTCAAAAAGAGTATACACTCCATGCTGTGGCAAAGACCTCAATCGTACTCTAAGGGCGCAGTTGACGTGATTTGCAAGAATAGCCTGAATTTTACGGCGAAACCAAATTGAACACCAGCCTGGCATAACAACAATTCTAGGGCTGTGTACGATGAAGCATCTACCATCAAATACATGAAATGCACGAACTAAGATTATCACGGTTTAAAGACAATTATTCATATAATCTCTTCAGAACTTCGTTTTCTGAAATTTAGTAACAATAACAGACCTACCAAAATGCCGGAATAAATTCAGCGACTTTGGTAAAAGACTGAAAAAAGTGCTACCGTTACAAAAAAGCATTCCCCCCTTGAGGATAGAAGCTCTGACGTGGCTGCAGGGAAAGCATGCCGCAATAGTCCCTGAGGCCAAACCAGCGGAAGTACGGCTTGCAGTAGGGCCAGCCACGCTGGATAGGTCTGTGGCGAGAGGCGAGACCAAGTGCGATCAACCATCTACCCATTATGGTGTATCATCATGAAAACCTTCCTACAACGGTTCGTTTTCACCTGGGTTATCCAGGGTTGAGCAACTCGATGGGGGACTGAAGCAGTCTGTGATAAGTGAGCATACAGAACCGTTTCTGCATTACACGCATTGGGATGTGGCAAAATGGCGATGTGCGCGCAATCAGCCGTGAACGTAAGAACACAAGGTCGTAACGATGTGCTATTACGTCGCTATAAACCAGAACAGAGGCTGTCCAAGAAGAATGCTAAAAGAATGGAGGAAGGTCTACCTATTCAGCAAGGCAAGGGAACAACGTATAGCGGACCACATTTACTTTACATGCCGCTAAGAGAATTAGAACTGGATAAAATACGAAGAACTCTTGATAGTTACATCACAGCGCAAGAAGATCAACGATTGAATATATCGATTAAATCATTCCGGCAAGTCAATGAGAGCAATGATCAAAATGGCTGATGTTTCAGAAGTCATCAGATAAATGACAAAGTAAAATCACGTCGACAGGAGATCCTTCAGGAATTTGAATGGCTTAAAAAATCTAGGACACGGTCATTTCTATTAGAGGTAAGAAGGAGCTTTGTGAATATATCACTCACGTTAACAGAGTCCTAACAACGATACCAACCAGTAATTTGGAATCCATCAGTACTGTGATATATATAACAGAACTTCGAGGAGAACGTTCAAGGAAGACTAAAGTAAACGAGGGACAGACTGATGCTAAATGCCATTTTCCTATCCGAGAATAAAACTTCAATGTACTAATGCGAAGAAAGGATGTTTCGCCGTATATCCCAAAACTTGACAAAACAAATGTCGATGTTAGCCTCTTGGCCATTTTTGTCATCATTCGTCAAGTATTTTGGCAATCTTCTGCAATCGATCAATCTGTCTTCCGTTCAGAGAGTAGTTGGTGTGGTGAAAAGAATTCATTGTACTTTCACTGAGGAGTAATATCTCTGAGGAGTAATATGGCCGATGACTCTTAATCCCTCGGCACTGGGTGGAAAGCAGAATGTCACTTGGCTTCTCCTCAGCAGCTCCGCCTTAAAGTTGCAGAGTTCACATGAAAGGGGGGTCATTGAAAATGCCCTCCGTGTTTCACACTAGTTTGTGACCCCGGATTTTGGTTACTGGGCGTTCTAAGCAACAGGGACTCTGAAGCTGAATGTAAGAAAAACTAACAGAATGATGCTACACAAAATTTAAAAACTTACTAACAATCAATATTTAAGTATAGCGACTAATTTGTTTAGAAAAGAATCTGGCACAACGGTCAACAACATTAAACCGGCATTTTTCAGAGCAATTTCAGCCAAAATAATAATACGGCAATGTTACTGTTCCAGCTACTCTTAATCAAAAACGGTGATAACAGAAAATGGAAACTATTGCTGATATGACAACACAATACTCCCTCAGTTACCTACCTCAGCGAGTTTCCTGTAGTCTGATAGCTCTTCGCCAATTTTGCTCAAGCACGAATGCACGGCGCTAGAAGTTCGGCAGTTCAGGATCTTCTCTTCGTTTAACTTCAATGCTGCTAAGGCAAAACGAAACAGTACCTAAACACACAGAAATTAATCAACTTAAGAAATAAAGCTTTGCGGAAGAAAGCAAGTATAACTTGATGGCATAACTCGAAAGTGGTGGATGTGGTTAATTCGTGCTTTACATACTGAAGACACGAACTATAAAAGCATTATGCAGAAATACTATTTTATTAACCGCTGACGGCTTCAAATACGATATTCATTCAGCAGTGTAACCACTCGT